TCGGCAGGAGCGCTGCCGCGCTCCCAAGCGGCGCACTGTAGCAGTGCGCCACCGGGCCGGCCCAAGGTCGAGATTCTTATTCCCGTACTGCAGGTGAAAGCACCAAGGCTCTGAGAGCTGTTTCCATTCAGACATTTAGCGGATATTCACCCAGAATATCTATTTTATCTAAAGGGGGCACAGCTTGAAAGCTGCTTACCGAATAGGACTAACCGTAGCCAGGGAAATTTTACTAAAAACAACACCAAGATAATACAAAGTGGTGTTGTTCACTGGTGCATTTGAACACAACCACACTTCAAATAATTCCCAGAAGAACATTTTCCATTCCAGGAGACAAGATGTTTATGGAGATGTGATCTCATAATACCACAAAAGAAAGGAGGAAATATACAATGACTGTTTTTTGCTATTAAAAATAACACACAAACCACTCACTGGGAAAGTAGGCTTACTGCCACTTTGGTGGCTCCTGGGTTTGCCAGAGCAAATGTAACAATTTTCCACGTTAATTGGGTTTGTCTCAGAGTCTCATCTGCCATCCCTTCTTCCTCTAGCCAATAAAACCGGGTGAGGTTAGTTTTGGCTACATTTGACTGGGGAGAGAAGAGCTGCAAAATATGGAGTTCCTGGGTTATCTTCTGGGGTGATCCTGATATTTGAAAGTTGCAAAATTAAAGGTTTCTTAGCTGCTGCAGCCATTGACTGCTATATGCCTGGGTTCGAATCCCAGCCCCACGTCTTTCTTGCTATGTGACCTTGGAAAATCACATAGTCTCTCTGTGCCTGTTTCCTTATCTGTAAAATGGGGTTGGGGACAGCTCCTGTGCTCTAGGGCTGTTGAGAGGGTTCAATGATTTAACACACATAAAGCACTCAGAATAGAACCTGGCACATAGTTTGCGCTAGATATGTTTCTATTAAATATATAATTAAAAATTAAAAATGAGTACTGCTGTTCACTAAATGACTTTAAGAAGCAGCTCCCTTTTGTTATTTTGTTAACTGATTAGTACATGCTTACATGAATTGGAAATTGGTAGAAACTAATTTGTATGACTGATTTGCATTAGATGGAAGGTAAATAGCCCTGAAAACAAGAAGAAAGATCTCAACAAAGATGTCCTTTTGTAGGACAATGGGTTTAAAATGGCATCTCAATATTGATGATAGTGCCCAAAATGATTGCCGAAGGGTTCTACAGCTGTTCACAAGACATACACGCTACTAATGTAGAGGCCTGTTGCCTCAAGCTGATGAAGCAGAAAGAAGAGAAAAATGGCTTTTGCTTTAGACCTCCAGGGAGTGAAGGTCCACAAGGCATCCATAAACTGCCCCTGATCGCCTGGAACCCAACGGAACAAAGACTGGCAGCTCTCCTGGCTTTGCAAAGAGCCTCTTCCATCTCAGAGACAGTTTAGCCTACCATTTTATAACTGTGTTTCTCTCAGGAGGACCAAAGGCCGGTTCAAATGTGTAAACATTTAGTTATACAAATTTGGTTGCAGTGTTTTGTAGTTTTGCATGGTATGCTTTTATGCAGACTCATACAACTGATGAGCACAACATGGAGCAATAACTGTTCTGGAGAGGCCTCTACTTATTTGAAGGGGCAGCCAGGTGGTACTTTGGAATTCCCCAGTGGCACTTTCTACATGTCCCCGGATGGACACTGCTGTGTCCATCTCACAATCGTGGAAGGAATACACCAACTGGCAGTGACAGACGGTTTCCTCTGGAAAAAGACCAAGCTTACCCAAGTAGTTGTTACTCTTGTGCATCTCGGTGATGTTGATTTTTGTGGCTCCTTGGGGAATCTCCACGACGCGGTGGTAGCCCAGGCTGGTGAGGGCATGCTTAAACACGCCTGACACGACCTGACAGCCCGTGTTGTCACCTCCACACACCCCACATTTGTCCACGACTTTGTCTGAGCCTAGGTAGTCGTCACAGCCAATGCTCTGCAAAGAGGGAGAGAACAAAAGATTCTAGTAGCAGGAGCATGCCAGGGGGAAGGAGCAGAGAGGGGACAACTAAAGATCTATTGGTGGGATGCAAACTGACTCTCCTCCTGCCCCTGTTCCTGCAGATGAGCCAATTCATGCTTCCACTCCCTCAGCAGATATTCACGGAGCCTCTACTCTAGGTAAGAACCTTCTCTTCTAGCTATTCATGAAATATATATACTGGGGGTAAGGTGGGGGCCACAGACAGTAGTAAACAAGACAAGTAAATAAAACAGAGTGTGTGTGGTGGTGGTAAACGATCAAGAGAAAAAAAAACAGGGAAAAAGAATAGGAAAGACACGGGGGCTAGAGATTGATTTACACAGGCTGTACAGTGAAGTTGTTCTGCAAATCCCTCCTGGACTCTGGGAGGGGATGGTCCATGCTGGGGTTTTTATATAAAGAATTGCTTTGGAACCATGATAAGTACTGCACCTAAAATTGGGGTTTGCCCCCAAGTCTTTTCTTCTGAATTACAGATGCTACAAACACTTAGCAAAGTAAAACACTTAGCAAAGTATTGCCCCAAAATAGTGTTCCCTGGCCTAGTTTCTTAGGACATTAAATAAAATTGTTTGAGATCTGAATCTCCACTGGTAACTGTGGCTCTGGAGAGCTGAGCAGCAGAATTTTTATTGCCCCAAAATAGTGTTCCCTGGCCTAGTTTCTGAGGACATTAAATAAAATTGTTTGAGATCTGAATCTCCACTGGTAACTGTGGCTCTGGAGAGCTGAGCAGCAGAATTTTTGCTTGGTTACCCCAAAGCACTTTTCCCAGAGCAGCAGGGAGAAGGTAAGCAAGGGCCAGAAACATCAACAAAATGGACAAGCTTCTAAATAATGAAGTGCTCTTTGGATCTCCAGTCTCATAGGTGTTTAAAGGAACACTGATTTTCCTGAATCTTTCCCCCAATAGAACCTTCCCGTTACTTATTCCAAGATTTTCTGCTTTATCTTTCCCCTCCCCATTCATGTTTCTGTTTTTGCATTAAAAAGTTAAACTTTTTTTTTTTTTCATTTTTGTCTTTTTTACTGACCGGCAACGGGATCGCAACCCTCGGTGTCGCACCTGCACCGCGCTCAGCCAGTGTTTTTCCTTTTTGTCTTTTTTACTGACCGGTAATGGGATCACAACCCTTGGTGTTGCGCCCGCACCGCGCTCAGCCAGTGAGTGGGAACCAGTCTCCACATGGGATCCGAACCCTCGGCGGGAGCGCCGCCGCGCTCCCAAGCGGCGCACTCTCCAGTGCGCCACTGGGCCGGCCCTAAAAAGTTAAACTTTGAAATGGAATGGGATGATCTTCATGGAGTTTTTTCCCACTTCTGGAGCTCTCCACTTCTGACTCCACAGGGCTCACAATCACGTCTCCTGAGTTCAAAACTGGGGTGCATGTTCTGAACAAAGTATTCTGTCACATTTCTGTGGGCAGATGGAAGTGAGCAGATAGTAGTTTGGACACTGAAATATTGGGATTACAGGATTATGCATTGGGTTATGAGGATATGGAAAAATACTTGAAATCAGAATGGTATTTAAAAACTTGAGACACATGTTAGCTGAATCACAGGATTGTCTTGGTTCTTGAATTCTAAGAGCAATCATCAGACCGCATCTCAGGGGCAAAGTGGCCAGCAAACCATTCCAAGTTCACTGTTGATTTTGTTAAATAACCCTGGGTCTGTTCATGTGGGTCCTGCAGGTCAAATCGTACAGGCAGAGTCAAATCGCAAGATGTTCATTCCTTCCCCTCTAACTTCACGTGTGATTAACATCTTCCTGCAGGCGCTGTACTTCTGCATTATTGCTTCCACATTCCCCTGTGCACATTAGTCCATCAATAATAACTGGTCTGTCTTCACAAATAGCTTTTCTGTAAAACATTATTTCTGACAATAACAGAACATCATCTCAATATGTTCATCCACATCCAATTAGCCTTTCCAAATGCCATGTTTGCTATGTATTTCTCCTCCCTCAAATATTTCTCACCCCTGCCCCATGCACATTCTAGCAGGAAAATAAAGAAAATGTTTTTGGTGCATGATTTCCACATCCCTACCCCTTGGGTTCTCCCTTGCTTTGAAACAAACAAATGCCACCACCAATGGGGGTTTTGGAAAGTAGAACCCCTGTTGCCAAGGCAAGAATCAAACTGAAGATGCCTCTGACTGTTGCCGATGGGGAAGATGGACAGGAAAGCTGGTCAGCCCTCACTCACTGCCCTGTCTAGTGACATCTCACTCCCCTACCCTTTCCTGCTACCCCTGGACTCAACTTGTCCCAGACTGAGCTCATCCTCATAGGGGTCCTCAAGGTAAAGGGAACAATGTGTACAAAGGCACAGAAGTAGGAAAACACAGCACGTTCATAGAATGACAAGGCTGCAGTATAGGATTACTGGGAAGGCTGGAGAAGTCAGCTGAATTTGTCAAGAACCTTGTCTGCTAGTGGGGAGAATGACGATTTTATCCTATGGCAGCAGCAATTGCCAGATGTCTGAAGGAGGGGACGGCCATGCTCAGACTTGTTTTTCAGATGCTAACTTTGGCTGAGGGGTGGAGTGGGTCCCACCTAGGGCAGGGAGAATAGGCAGTCTAGTGAGTCTCTCTCTCGCAAATAGGGTGTAGGAGATATTTCAAGAATGAATGAGAGCAGCCGAAGATGCGAAAGACATCACATCAGTCCTCAGCCCCAGCCCAGGTAGAATGGGATCATCAGAAGCAAATTACACAAACATGGATCACTCGAGACAACCACAGACACGGACAAAATGTTATTTGATCTTGTGAGTCAGACATTATATTAAAACGCTCTGCGCAGTTTGATGGATCCCTCACCAGAGTTCCTGCACAGCATGGTCACTCTGGGTGCATCTAGACGTGGGGAGGGAGGACTGTGGCAATTTTTCCTGGTAGACGTCCAAGTACCCTGGAGGTGGGCTTCAGTGAAGCATGTAGCTGCACAAGTGATGCCAAGAACTAAAGGTGACATCCCGTCTCCTCAGAGACCATCAATGGTTTCCTCAGAAACTACTGGAGCACACTTCTGATGGCCTAGTGGTTACCCAGCACGCTGAGACTGAATTTCCATGGAGTTACACCGAATATCTCACATCTACTTCACGGTGACATCCCGTCTCCTCAGAGACCATCAATGGTTTCCTCAGAAACTACTGGAGCACACTTCGGATGGCCTAGTGGTTACCCAGCACTCTGAGACTGAATTTCCATGGAGTTACACCGAATATCTCACATCTACTTCACAAAGCAGGAGAGACAGCCCCAGAACGAGAAGTGAGCAGGCAGCATGTATTCAAGACGTTTACTTTTAGCTTCGAGGCCATAGGTAAATTACATCCATGACAACCTTCCCTTCTCCTGCACAGGGCTATTGTGAGGATCAGATGACACACTGAGGGACAATTTGGACTGGGTATCTAGGAGGGCATGGCTGAGGAAGTGACCTTTGCCAGGATCTGAATGACAAGAAGGACCAGCCACAACAAGATATAAACATGTAAACAAGTATTTTACCACTGACAGTATTGAGTGACTACAGTGGGCAGGCTGTCTGGGAAATCCCAAGCTGAATCATACAGGTCCTGCCTTTGGGAATTTGAGTCTAACAGGAGTGATTAGACATACACACAGATAATCACAGCTATCAGGCAATGAGGAATGCTTGCATTCTCTATGTCACGCTGGGACAGGATTAGCAATCGGGTACATAACGTCTGGAGGATGTCGAAATATCCCGGCTTGAACTGGGGGAACCGGGATGGAGTGAAGGGGATGTGAGAGGTGCTTAGGCTGCAAAACAAGCAGACCTTTGTGACTGACTTGGGGAGGAAGAAGGGAGCTCACATCCTCCTCCTCTTCCCCATCTTCTCAACATCATTATGTCTGACATTTACAGAGTGTTTATTATATTCTAGGTCTGCTGAACATATATTTTTCTCATTTAATCTTAAAAGCAGTCTGTGAGATTGTTGAAAACTGTAGGAAACTAAGACTTAAGAGAGAGGTTAGGTAACTTGCCCAAGGCCATGTTGCTAGTAAGAGGTGGAACTGGGATTTGAACCCAGGCCCCAAACCAAAGCCCATGCTTTTAACCATGTGTAAAAATTGGAGGTTATAGGATCAGAGGTCATGCTGAGGGTTCTGGCTTTGTTGAAGGAGTGGATGGTGGCAGTGACCTAAGGGCAGAGGAACAAGTTCAAAGCACTGTGACCACAGAGTGCTGGACAGGGCATGGCCCAGAAGTGACTCTGGAGTTCTCTTCCAGTGTTACAAAGACCAATGATGCTATGTCTCCCTCCTGCACTGGCTGTTTCAACATTATACTTTGCACATAGTAAGTGAATAAATATTTTAGCTCCTCTCCCTATTATATTACTTTCTTATTGTTATAACTTTTGATTTTGAAATTGTTTGGCTCACAAGAAGTTGTGAAAACAGTACAGAGTTTCAGTGACTTTTTATCCAGCTTCCCCTAATAATAATAGCTTATGTAACCACAGTACATTGTCAAAACCATGTATACCACTGACATCAGTATCATACCACTCACTCAAGAATAGACCTCACTCAGATTTTGCAATTTTTTCTATGCACTTTTTTTTTTGGTTTATAGTTCGATGAAATATTGTCACATGTATAGACTATGTAATATGTCACCTTCTTGAAAGCAGCTGACACAAAAATATGACTGTAATTGATTAGTGGAGCTGACATCATTTAGTAGGAAAAGCAGTTTGGAATGATGGAAAAAATGTTGAAGTGACAACCAGGAAACCTGGGGTGTGGTCCTGGCTCAGTCTCTGACTTGCTTTGTGAAGGTAGGTGGGTCACTTCTCTCTGGGGTCAGTGCTGAAAACATTTTCACCACCATCCAGACCTTTCAGTGGACATTGATCAGAAATGAGTGCGGCCTGAACTGGTCTGGAGGCTGATCA